GATAACACTTGCCAGTTCGACATGTTCACCTAACAATCATCCCATTCGACAACTATAGCAGATCTTTTGCTTATAGTATCTGAGATATGGACTTGACCACAAAACTTAACCTTGTTCACTGATTCATGAAATGAAGTGAAAACTGTCTGACAGGCATGAGGACCTTGCAAGGTACCACATATAGTTATCCTATTACTTATAATAAGAAAGAAATTAAGAATACAAAAAATCTTAACTTTTTTTTTAAGTAGTCACTGAACCATGAAAATGAGGTCAAGGACAATGAACATATGACAGACGGAAACTTCATAACATAACACATCTATATACAAAGTATGAAGGATCCACAACTTCTACCTTCTGAAGTATTAAGCTTTTAAAAAGTTAGCTAACGCTGCGGCCACAGACACCGGATCACTATCCCTATGTTGAGCTTTCTGAGACAGAAGTCACAGGCTCAACAAAAATGTCTCGCCAACAAAAATGTGGAGAATTGATTATTTGAGTGAATTTTCTAAGTCCAAGGACCATAGCTCTGCACAAATTCATTAGACTGGAACAAAATTCGAAATTGGTCTGTAACTTGTCAAGATAAAACTATATACCAATCATCAAATCAATATCTTCAAGCATAACAAAACAAATTGTGAGAAACTGATTTTTTTGAGTGAATTTTTTAAGTTCAAGGATCATAACTCTGCACAAAATCTGCAGACCAGAACAAAATTTGAACTGGATCTGTAACTTGTCATGATAAAACAATACACCAAATATCAAATCCACGTCTTCAAGCACGAAGAAAAAAGTGAGGAAAACTGATTTGTCGGACTGATGGATGGACAGACAGACAGACAAGAGTGCAAATCTAAAGTCCCCTTCAACTTCATCGGGAGGGGACTAAAAATAAGATCAAATATCATATTTTCCGCACCTTGTACTTTTTTATGCATATATATACCATGTATTAGGCAAGACTTTAATTATTATCTGTTTAAAGCGGAAATTTGTAAAAATTTATATCCGAGGGGATGAAAAAATGAATAGTAAATGGGTAATGTGTCCATGGGACACAGATGATTCCCCCGATTGCATATTATATAAAGTTATAAAGGGACATAACTGAAGAACGTAAAATTTGGGTGAGGCAAATTAACTGAAGAAAGAGAACGGAAATGAAAAATTCTGCAATTTTTCCATTTGTAAAGAAGCATGACTCTATATCAGTTAATTTGACACCACCAAAATTCAAACTTGATCTGTATTTTGTGGTAATAAGCATTCTGTATAAGTTTCATAACATTTGGTTGAGGCAAACTGAAGTAAAAGAATGGAATAAAAAATTCAGCAATTTTTCAATTTACAGAGGGGCATAACTCTAGACCAGTTAAAGGGACACAACCAAAATTTATACTTGATCAGTATTTTGTGGTAATAAGTATTGTGTATAAGTTTCATAACATTTGGTTGAGGCAAAAAGAGACACAACCAAAATTCAAACTTGATCTGTCTTTTGAGGTAATTAGCATTGTGTATAAGTTTCATAACATTAAGTTGAGGCAAACTCAAGTTAGACATAATTTTACAGCAAAAGTTGTCCACCTACAGGACAAGTTTTCGTAGTAATTGTTATCAAGTTGTGTCCTCCAAGGAAAATAATATTGAACAGCATTTGTTACTCGTTTAAATTTAAATCATTATACATGACTAAGTAACAATGTATTAAAAGTTAGTGATTGTAGGTTAAAATACGTCCAGTAATAACAAGCCAATGGATATCATTTAATACTATAATCATATCAAACAAGAATGTGTCCATAGTACACGGATGCCACACTTGCACTATCATTTTCTATGTTCAGTGGAACTTTGAATTTGATTTTTTCTTTGGTATATTATTTTTCTAACCTTGCATTGAATGTTTTTTTTAAAAATCTGAGAATGATGTCAACATTTTCAATCAATTATTTTGATAACATGGTCCCCATCACTTCGTCCCTGATACATTTAATGAATTTTAAGTAGCAGAAACTTTTCTCAATTGAACAAAATTGACAGTTTAGTATATATAACAAGAATGTGTCCATAGTACAGGATGCCCCACTTGCACTATCATTTTCTATGTTCAGTGGACTGTAAATTGGGGTCAAAAATCTTATTTGGCATTTAAATTAGAAAGATCATATCATAGGGAATATGTGTAGTAAGTTTCAAGTTGATTTGACTTCAACTTCATCAAAAACTACCTTGACCAAAAACTTAAACCAAAAACTTTAACCTGAAACTCGCACTATCATTTTCGATGTTCAGTGGACCGTGAAATTGGGATCAAAACTCTAATTTTGCATTAAAATTAGAAAGATCATATCATGGGGAACATGTGTACTAAGTTTCAAGTTGATTTGACTTCAACTTCATCAAAAACTACCTTGACCAAAAACTTTAACCTGAAGCGGGACAGACAGACAGATGAACGAACGAACGAACGGATGAATGGATGGACGGAGGAACGGACGCACAGACCAGTAAACATAATGCCCCTCTACTATCATAGGTGGGGCATAAAAACTATTCCCTCGTGGAGGACGCCATTCTGTTGGTTGTCTATGTGGTAAGCCATAAATCATCTACCGCAGACCAGTAATCATAATTTTATTTTGTTTAGGGGATTTCCTAACAGATGCCTGGATAACTGAAAATAAACATAAGAGCAACTTCTTTTTTTTTTATTTTGAAATCAGGAAAGGTGGAGTCAGCGGCACTCATTAAACAGATTATAAAAAATGCCTGGCCTAATCTGTTTACTTTTGAAAATTTGTTTTCATAAAAAAATAACTAAAAGATTATGTGTAAAAGGATTGACCACATATAGCATCAAACACAACATTCAAATAAACTGTGGACACAGAGATATTTTTCACCTGCAAGCATAAAATTCAGAAAAAGACAATCAAATGGACAGCAACTTTGCTAATTAATTCAAATTCACATGACTTACTTACGTACTCTGTATATCATTCTGCATCCCTTTAGTAAGAACAAACCACTTTTATCAGTAACATTATAATAATAAGATTTGCTGGACCATGATCTGAGGGACAGAGCCTGGAAATGGTCAACAAACTGAGATGCAACTAGACATCATAGAAATGGGAGCCATCTCTGTGGGCCCCGCTGTAAATAACAGGTTACTATTTGACTATTAAAGATGTTAGTGGTTGAATCTCTTAGAGCAGGTTACATGTGCTATTAAACAGTACACTGGATGCACTTTACCTCTAATTTTTAGAAAATTTAAAAAATATAATATAAAAGAGAAAAAAAAGACACAGGTTATTTGGCATAACTAGTCAGAATTATGCCATTTAAATTGTTGGAACATTGTACTGTATTTGTATTCAATACATTAAATAGTTCTTGTGTTCACCTATAAAACAGTCCATTTCTATAGTTCAGTAAATATTTTTATCATGTGGAAATCTGTACGTCAGAAGTAGAAGGTTCGACAAAAATACATCAGATTGAATTATTTGATTGTTTAAGATTTGTTGTGTTGCCAATCTCCTTTTCTTGGTTTATTTCATCTTACAGAGTGATAACACATTTAACATGTCCTGGTGGAGTAATATCTCCAAATATAATTACTCACAAGAGAACAGAACTAAGCCAGTTGTATGGATTGATGGAAAAGACATGAAGATGAATTCTGCAGCAAATGTTAAAGACTACAATGACAATGATCAGCATCAGTTTTCAAATGGAAAAAAACATATGTATGGATAAGCTGATAAGAAGCACTTTTTTAAGTTATTACATAGTCTCTTTATGTGCTGAGAGTGATTTTATTCTATGTTTTTTAGTTAAAGTAATATATTTGGCCTAGGAAGTTGTACATACGTTATGACACACCCTCTAGTGTTGGTTAATATACATGTCAAGTATAAAGTATGAAATCATAACAGTTCTCAAGATATTGAGTGGACATGATCTGTACCCTAGGACATGGGGTTGTCAACTGAAACCAAAGTTTTTGACCTTGACCTTTGACCTAGGAAGTTGTACAAACATTATGACACATCCTCTGGTGTTGGTTAATATACATGTCAAGTATAAAGTATGAAATCATAACAGTTCTCAAGATATAGAGCTGACACGATCTTTACCATCGGACATGGGGTTGTCAACTGAAACTAAAGATTTTGAAATTGAACTTTGACGTAGAAAAAGGTACAAACATTATGACATACTCTCTGGTGTTGGTAAACATACATGTCAAGTATAAAGTATGAAATTATAATGGTTCTCTAGATATAGAGAAGACACAAATTGTTACAGACGGACAGACTGATCACTATGCATGGCCCTAACTATATAGAAAATATCCTTGATCTATCACAAGTAGTTTCTATCAAACTGATTTGAGCAGGAAAAAATCTTTAACATTCAAAATAGCTACTGTAAATTCAGAAATTATTGGGTGCATTTATTATTGCGATTTTGTCATTTTAGACTAAATGGGATTTTAATTTTTGCGATATTGAGAAAAAGCCAGTTTTATTCATATAAAAAAATTCAAAATGCATTAGTTTAAATTATTGCGATTATAACCCTGTCTCATTTTTCGCAACAATTCCTGAATTTACAGTAATTATTAATTATTTCAAAGTCACTGGACCATCCCCTAGGGGACAGGGCTTTAAAAAAATCAACAAACTTAAATGTACTGTCAGTAATGCAACTTTATAAAAATTATAGTTGCTCTGTTCCCATCAAACTGATTTAAGCAGAAAACTAAACATTAAAGATTACTTATTACTTTTGTTGCTGGACCATGACCTAGGGGACAGGACCTCAAATTTGTTGTCCAGCTGATATGTACTGATAGTAATGCAACTTTATAGAAAATATCACTATCTATTACAAGTAGTTTAATAATTGCGTCTAGCCAGACAAGACAAAATATGCCATAATGGAAATGATTTTTTTATTAGAATATCATTTACCTGTATGTTGTTGACATACGGCTGGTTTTCATCATCTCGATAGGAACCATTGACTTTGTAGTGTTGTAACCACTGTGTATGGTGCTGTAGGTCATTTCTCAACACTTTACACTCAAATTTAGCATCACTTCCAGCTTGAACTGTTTGATTGGTTGGTCCCACCACTAGGGGTTTTGTAATTATACTCACTGTAAATATATGAATAACAAAATAGAAATTAAAGAAACACAAATTTTCAAAAATAATAATCACTGTTTTTTTTTTTCATGGTAAAAATATTATCCTGTCTTTCTTGTATGAAAAAAATAAGATGCCAACAGACAACGATTGACTATAGACCAAATTATGAAGGCGACAGCAACTATTGGTCACTTAATTTCAAAATTTGCTTATATATAAGCCCAACCTTCATCCTGACAATTTTTGTCTTATCTTCATTTTAATCCTTTTAGACTCTGTGAGTAACAAAAGGCAGAATCATGGTAATCAGTTGGGCATCATATAAAAATGATTGACATAAAAACAATATCAAACTTGACTTTTCAATAAATTCAATGTTCTGAAGTAAACTGTAAAATAGGCAGTGCATTTTTAAAGTGTGCAACAATAGCATACTAAGATCTGCTTAAGATTCTTTAAATCGCTGTTAAAACATTTACATTCTTTTACACTGACCAGTAAATTTCAGTTGCCAGTAAATTTCAGTTGGCAGACATTTAATGAACCTTTTATTGTAATGAGTGGTTATCAAAGTAGGGTTGATTTGATAGTACATTACTTAATTCATCATGTCACTTTAATGACCCGAAATGTGACTTTTATGTGTGACTTTTTAAAGAAAAAAGGTCTGGTCAAAAAGATTGCATCAACATAAAAAAAATTCTGAATCATTTTAGGATAAAACACATTTTTTCTTGAGATTATTATGTGTAAACTGGGGCAATTAACTCACAAACAAAGTCTGTCAAAAGGACTTTTATGTAAAGTTTGTGAGTAAGCGACCCAGTTTACATATCATTCTATTACAGAAGCCTACAGCTTCTTGGTTAAAGATGAATATCTTATTCTACAGGCTAGTAACGACCTTGTTTTACAGTTGAGTGATTTTAAATCATAGTCACCTGTACAAATCCACTCATGTGTGCATATATAAACCTGTGCACACCTGTATTCTGTCTCATTTTATTCTAAGGCTAGAACGCCAAGTAGCGGCTGAAATTATGTCCATCTTAGCGTCTGGTGACGAAGCTAGTTTTTCTGGGTTCTCTGCAGTGGCTGAGTCAGTCCACATTTCACCACCCAAAAAGAGATAAATAATGTCGGCCGTGGTTCCCCCAGAAACTGTTAAGAAATTAAAGAAAACTAGCGCAAGTAAACAAAACAATGAAAGAGGCCAGGGTAAGGGAGCCGGCAAGAATAAGAAAGGTAAAGCTCCCAAAAAACGGGGAAATAATGCAACCTCTTCAGATAAAGAAAAAGAAAGAGAAGATGAGTTCAGAAGAATTTATTCTAAACTAGGACTTTTATTAGATAGTCAATTGCAAGTGGTATTTCTCTGAATTCCAAACGACGGTGCTCAGGATGCAGATTTTCTACTCTGCATGTGCAGTTTTCGCTCGCTAGGCAAATCTTGTGAATAGGTGATTTCTGGTGTAGAGCTGTCCTTGGAGTCTGAAATTGCCTGACCAAGTGGATAATGCTTTTCTCGAGTCGAAGTTTTTGGGGTTTCCATTAATGTATCAGGAGTTGGTTTTAGTACCTGTTTTGGGTCGAATGATGGTGGGGCAGGTACAGTCTTATAACAAAGGTCATCTTGTATAATCTTTGTTGTTTTGATGCCCTTGTCAGGAACATACTTCCTGGGAAACTTTCTGTTGCCTAAAGTCACTCTTCCAGAGCCATCAACCTTTACTGCATATTGATCAAATTGGCGGTCTTCAATGATGATGCCAGTTTTGTCCCATTTTAGTGAGTAATGTCCTATCTGGTTCTGAATACGCACACAATCACCAATGGCAAGTTGAGGTAGTCTTTTTGTGTGTTCCAATAAGCGTTTGCCCTGTTTGATGTGGCGGTTTCTTAAAGCTTCTTCACGGGCATCTAACGTTTCCCTCCAAGTATTGTGAGGAGAGTATCTTGCTGGCGGAATCGGAATGAAAATGAAATCCCTGATTGGATGACCAAAGACGCATATCGCAGGTGAAAGTTTTGTGTCTCTGTCAGGTGTATTTCTGTACAGTAGCATTGCCCGTTGAAATGCATCCGAGTCGAAGGCAGGTTATGAGTCCGGTTGCTCCATTTGATGATCTTTCAACAATTGGCCAGTTTTGAGTATCGGTCAACTATGACAAGGTAGCAAATCCCTTTGAATTAAAAGAAGTCAGAAGAGACGCATTGAAACGGGTAGTCTGGTGACATCAGAGGTGTGGGTGGAGCACTCGGGTTAGAAGGTGCTATCTGATTACAATGGTTGCATCCGGCTTGTGGGCTGAAATAGCGGGGTGATACCTGGCCAAAAAACCGATGAGTCTGCTCATTGCTGTTACTCCTTGATGGGCTGCGTGTAAAGCAGACAAAACTTCCTCTTGGAGACTGGGGGGAATGACGATTCTGTCCTTGTATATTATAACACCATCAATAGTGTAAAGGTGTTCATGGAATTGGAAGTATTCCCGCAGTTGTGGAGGAAATTCATGTCGAAATTCAAGATTATCAGACTCAATCAAGTTGATAAGTTCATTCATACTGTCATCACTTGCTGTAGCGGTACGAACTCTGTCCCAAGTAACAGATCTGACTGCAAGCGAATCAAGCGAGGATAGGCTGATATAAAGACACTGTTATCTATTTCAGTAGCATCTGAATCTAAATCTGAATGCTGTATATCTGATAAAAATGATGTGGCAGGTGGCAACGACATTGTACTATTCTTGATGGCTGCTATGTCATCTTAGAGAATAAGTTTTTCAGGATCCCCAGTTGGATGACATGACACACCGTCAGCGGCATGATGTTTGACACCTGGTACATGAATCATCCGGAAACAATATCTGAGTGTTTTCTCTTTCAAATTTCAAAGGCATGAAATCGAGATCGATGTCTTCTAAAGATCTGTCACTGAATATTTTCAGGAGGGGTTTATGGTCAACAGCTATAATAAGATCCTTGCATCCCAGTACAAAATACCTCATTTTGTCCAAAGCGTTGACAACGGCTAGAGCTTTGCCTTCTACTGGCGCATAACGGAATTCAGCTGGAGGTGTAAATCTACTCCCGACAAGCATTATCCGCCATCCTGTGTTACAACAGAATGGTTCACTTCCTATGTAGGAACAATGTTTCTGAAATAGCCAGAAGCCAATACCAGATTTTGACCAATCTGTAGCAAGGCATGTCGGTTTACTTTTATCAAAGATGCGAACGCCCTTTTCTATTTCGCTTATGATAGCAGCTTTTGATTCCTCGATCAGTCTGTTGATGTGTTCATCCCCGGAAAATGGTGTTCTGGGTTTCAATAATTGCCTGAAGAAAAGCTTCTTATCAGCCATGCTGAAGGCATAGGACACTTGATTAACGAGACCAAACCATGATCGTACATCCGTGATATTTCTAGGAGTTGGAAAATCTAGGATCGCTCTTAGGTATTTCATGCAAGGGCGGACAGTGTTGGACGTGTTTCAAATCCAGCGAATTCTACAACATCTTTGACCAAATATGAACTTCTCAGGATTAAGAGTAATGCCATGACAACCACATATATCGAGCTATTGTGCAGCTTGAAAAAAGCTTTCCCCAATTGAATCAGCCCATAGGAGGACGTCATCTACACATTTGGTTTTGTTCGGAATGTCGGCAACAACTTCATCATATCGTCTTGTATAGGCGTCGCCTGAAGCTATGTAACATTGGAGCAGTCTTGTAATGATATCTGCCCCAGGGAGTAATGAAGGTAGTCAGATGCAGATCCTCCTCAGGAATTGGCACACTATGATAGCTGTTCCAGGCGTCAAAAACGGTTTTCCTCTTTCCATTCAGTACTGATCTAGCCTGGTGAAAAGATGAAGGCGTATGGTGTGTTTCACGTGTTGCGTGCACATTAAGGGGTTGAAAATCAACTGTGCGACGTGGTTTTCCATTTTTCTTGGCACAAACGACCATTCTATGGCACCATGTGACAGGTTCCCCAACCGGAACATGTTCCAATACGCCAAGTCGGACATCTTGATCAAGACCAGCTTTGACTTCCTCTTTCCAGTGGATTGGTACTGGTACTGGAGTGTGCTGAGCAACGGGTTCAGCTTCGGGATCCACCATCAATCGCATTGGTGGTCCATCTCCATCAGTGGCAATGGTTGGTGATCACATATATTGATGGTACTAGATTTGTAATAGTCCATGAGAAATTGTTTTATTTTTGTGAGGTTGATTTAAGTTGCTGGATATGGTAACTTCATCGGAATTGGAGGCGGCAGCTTCCTTTGAGGACAATTACAGGTGGTATCTAGGCCATTAACACTTCCGATGTTGTTTGTGATGTTGTGAGGATTCTCAGTACCAGGAGTTGGTTGCTTCTCATCTATTTCACCAATTGTTGGGAAGCTGTCGGAGATCATTCGAAAAGCAATGCAAGCGTCTCTGATAACAAATAGCTTATCAGAGTTGTGAATAACATACGTCATTTGTCTTCATGTCTACCTTGATCATCTTTGCCGGATATTGCGGAGTATTGTTGCACCAAAGATCGTGATACCTTTGTTATTGGCAGCATGCATTTTCATAATGACAGGGATTAATTCAGTCTGATTTATTCCTAGTCGATGGATGACCTTGATACCGGCAAGGCAGCTCTGGCTCCCTGTATCCGCCATAGCAGAGATGGCAACAGTATTTGTCCTTTTTGTCATGTTGAAACCAAATGCTTCATAATCCTCAAAACAAGGTTGACGAATGGTTGTGGTTTCGATGCCTTGATGATCCAGGTATCTGACAGATTATCATAAAGATGATGGTCTATGGCTAGCGTTCTGCCATTTATTTTATGTGAATTGCTGGATATGCTACACAGTGAATCAAACACAGCACATTCACAATCGTCTGCATTAGGAGTAGCTGTACCAGTTTTTGATGATTTTTCCTTACTCCTACAAACCTTTTCAAAGTGGTGTTCACAGTTGCAGTATCCACACTTATGGCCATATGCAGGGCAATCTGACTTATGGAGACAATCTGATGCACTTTTGCTGTGTCCCTTTTTGCCACAATATGAACAAGCTTCATTTTTGTCCCTCACGGCTGTCTGCTTTGCCTTTTTATAAGAGCTGCTAGCTGCTTGAACTATTTGAGAATCAAGTAATCTAGATGCAGAACGTTTCCCTGAATCTTTTGCTTCAACGAATTGAGTGACTTAATTCTTCAAGGGTCATGTCTTGGTTTTTGTCACCGAGGAGGTCAAGTTGGATTTCTGGATCGGAAATGCCTCGTGCAAGAACGTCCCGAATAATGGTGTCTGTATAGTTCACATCTGTGTTTATACAAGTAGGGCACTTTATGAAGAATTTGCAAACACCGACTTGTCCTCGCAAACGTGCACAAAAACTACGTACTGGTTCGTCATGGTCTTGGCGCATATTATGAAGTGTGACTCTAGCCACCATCGTATTTTCCTCACGAACAGCAAGTTTCTTGATTGCGGCTAACACTTCTTGCACAGGTTTGTTTGTTAGACTACCCCCTGCTGATCGTGTCAAGTCCTTGTATAGCTGCTCATCACAGCATTCTAGAAGGTCAACTACCTTGTCACTGCCGGCAATTTTCGTTGCTTCAACATAATCGGACCACCGTGATTCAAAATATGTCCATTCTTCACTAGTTCCAGCTGTTGATATAACCAGTCTTTTCACTTTTTCTACTTTCACTGCTGTGACTGGTCCCGGAGCGTGTGCTGTGCTATGAACAGTGATGAGTACAGCAACGATTGCTGCATCAAGATCGTCAGTGATATATTCACATCCAGGTATAGGAAACTGTACTGCAGGCATTGTCGTTTAAGTGTTGTTCTCCACAGGTCTTGAGTAATCTTTGGCCGTGGTCATAAATAAGAACAATGTCTATTTATTCGTACAAGTCTTTAATGTAGAACAATGACACGGTCATCTGTAATGAAACATAAAACATTATTAGCATTAATAAGCACAGTTGAGTCCATAGTTATAAGAAACAAAAGTACATAGTCAATTATAACCCTCTAAAGGTGAAATTGATTTCAGTCAATATGACATTTTTGGCAACAATAACAATGCAGATGATGAGGTTGAGTTAGGGGAAAACAACGAGGAAGAGTTCGCTAATGCTATTCGTAAATTTTCGAAGATGATGACAAGTTTGGTGATGAAACACATAAGAGTATCGCTGCTCTTGTAAACGCTGTGACAAATCGTAAGTCTGTTATTACAGAAATAGCAAAGGATTATAAAGTTCCTTCAAATAGTAAGTCATTGGCACCTCCAAAGGTTAATCCTGAGATTTGGCATCTATTGAATCGCCAAGCCAGAAGTGATGATTTGTCTTTTCAAACAATACAAAGGATCCTGGGTTTTGGCATTGTACCAGTACTGCTAACTGCAGAGGCACTGACTAAACCAGATGCAGTAAAAACGGTGGCTAAAATGAGAGTCAACATTAATGCCCTGTCAATGCTATGTGCAGCATTTTTTGAAATAACATATGTTAGACGCATGACACTGAAAAATAATATGGATCAGAAGTACCATCAACTGTGTACAAGACATTTAGACGTTACGGAATATTTGTTCAGAGATGATGTGTCCAAAAAAGTGAAAGATATTAATGATTCCCAGAAGATGAAGGGAGTTGTAAATACAGCTACTTCAAACAAGAGGCTCTCAAGAGCCTGAATCGCTTACCTGTATTTCACAGGAGAAGATTTTTAAATGTTAGCAAACTTGATGAACAAATTGTGTAAAATTGTCTTTAAAGGGCAATAACTCCTTAAGGGGTCAATTGACAATTTTGGTCATATTAACTTTTTTGTAGATCTTACTTTGCTGAACATTATTGCTGCTTACAGTTTATTATCTATAATAATATTCAAAATAATAACAAAAAACAGTTTGACTGCAAAATTTTGTTAAAACTACCGATTCGGTGGCAGCAACCCAACAATGGGTTGTTCGATTCGTCTGATAATTTCAGGGCCGATAGATCTTGATCAATTATACAATTTTACCCCATGTCGCATTTGCTCTAACAGACTTAGTTTTTGAGATATAAGCCAAAAACTGCATTTGACCCTTATGTTCCAATTTTGGCCATGGCGGCCATGTTTGTCAATGGATACAAACTTTGGTTACAATTTATAAACAAGATACCCTAAGGAACATTTAGTTAAAGTTTGAAGGTAATTGGCCCAGTAGTTTCAGAGGAGAAGATTTTTAAATGTTAGCAAACTTGATGAACAAATTGTGTAAAATTGTCTTTAAAGGGCAATAACTCCTTAAGGGGTCAATTGACAATTATGGTTATATTAACTTTTTTGTAGATCATACTTTGCTGAACATTATTGCTGCTTACAGTTTATATATATCTATAATAATATTCAAAATAATAACAAAAAACTGCAAAATTTTGTTAAAACTACCAATTCGGTGGCAGCAACCCAACAATGGGTTGTTCGATTCGTCTGAAAATTTCAGGGCTGATAGATCTTGACCAATTAAACAATTTTACCCTGTCTTATTTGCTCTAAAAGATTTAGTTTTTGAGATATAAGTCAAAAACTGCATTTGACCCTTATGTTCTATTTTTAGCCATAGCGGCCATGTTTGTCGATGGATCAAAATTTAGAATAAAATTTATAAACTAGATACCCTAAGGAACATTTAGTTAAAGTTTGAAGGTATTTGGCCCAGTAGTTTCAGAGGAGAAGATTTTTTAAATAGTTTACGACGACAGACAACGACGACAGACGACGGACGACAAGTGATGGCATAAGCTCACATGGAGCCCTTCGGGCCCCGGTGAGCTAAAAACTGGAGACAAGGGGGTTGCCCCCCCCCCCAGGTATAAACAATCAGCAATTATGGCCAAAGAGGCATGAGAAACTCCCGCTACAGAGGGAGAGCTGGTTCAAAAACCAAAGAAGCAGGAGATATTAGAGGTAAATAACCTATCTTGCACTTTTATAGCTGGGTCTATTTGTTTTGGTTTACAAAATTGGGAAAAAATATCATACGATCCTTGGATTCTTAGTCTAGTTCAAAACAGTTATAAAATTGAATTTGAAAATAAACCGGTTCAATTTTTTATGCCAAAATTTATGAAGTTTGACAAAACTGAAACAGAACTAATTGATAATGAAATTCAAATCTTATTGTCAAAAAGTGCAATACAAATTTCAAAACATGAGAAAGATGAATTTATATAAAATATTTGTCTTGTTCAGAAGAAGAATGGAAAATATAGGCCTGTAATAAATTTGAAAGGTCTGAATCAATATGTGAAATATTTCCATTTCAAACAGGAAAATTTACAGTTTGTTTTGTTGAATATTAGAAAGAATGATTATCTTATATCAATTGATTTATGCGATGCATATTTTTCAATTTCAATGAACAAAAAATGTAGAAAATATTTGAAATTTGTTTGGAAAGATCAGATTTATGAATTTACTTGTCTTTGTTTTGGGTTAGCAATTAAAGTGCACCTAGAATTTTTACAAAACTTATGAAAGTAGTTTTTTCTCATATAAGAAACCAAATAAAGAAAAATCAGTCTTCATTCCAACACAGAGAATAATTTTTCTAGGATATTTGATTGATTCTGTGCAATTTAAAGTGTTTCTGACAGAAGAAAAAATACAAAAGATTTTGAAAAGTGCAAACAAAATCTATAGTTTATACAATCCTGTTATCAGGGAAGTAAGTTCTTTAATAGGTTTATTTACTTCAGCTTCATGTGCAGTTTTATTAGCACCAATTTTTCATAGAAATTTAGATATTGAGAAAACTTTAGCTCTGAGCAATAACAATGACAATTATGATGTTATCATGAGTCTCTCTGAAAATTCAAGAAATGAAATTTTATGGTGGATTAAAAATGTAGCTAGGAATGAAGGAAAAAGTATAAGCTTTGGCACTCCTACTGAGTATATTGAAACTGATGCTTCTAAAATTGGATGGGGAGCCGTTTATGGAAAAAATGAGACTCAAGGAAGATGGATGAAATCTGAAAGCATTTCAAACATTAATATATTAGAACTTTTAGCTATAAAATATGCACTTTTTTCATTAGGAAAAAAAAAAATTTCAAATTCTCATATTTGTATTAAATCTGATAGTTCTACAGCAGTTCAATATATAAATAACATGGGAGGTGCAGGTGTTGTAGCACTGTTGGAAGTAATAAGAGAAATATGGTTCTGGGCTGCTGATAGAAACAATTTTATTACAGCAGTCCATATTGCAGGGAAAGATAATATTACTCCTGATCAGTTGTCAAGAAATTTTAGTGACTCTTCTGAATGGAAGTTGAAAGAAAATATATTTAGAAATGTTTGTGGGCATTTCTTTCAACCAAATATTGATTTAATTGCTTCTAGACTTAATAAACAGTTAAGTAGATATGTCTCATGGTTTCCCGATCCAGAGGCTATGGCTTCTGATGCTTTTTCTTGGAAGAATTATTTACCATATGTTTTTCCTCCTTTCAGTATCATAGCAAGAATTTTGAGCAAGATAGAAGAGGAACAGATGAGAATGGTTTTAATGATAGTTCCAATATGGCCATCCCAACCTTGGTTTCCAAGGTTATTGAATTGTTTGGTCGACTATCCTGTTATTCTCCCTTTTTGTCAAGATCTTTTAAGACTTGTACACAACAATCAAAAGCACCCGCTATACATGAGAAAGTTATTCCTAGTCGCTTGTGTAGTATCAGGCATTCCCTCCAAAAGAAGGGAATTTCAAAATCAGCTGGAAACATCATCACTCAGTCATGGAGAGTCTCTACCTTGCGACAATATGAATATAGTTGGCGGAAATGGTATCTTTGGTGTAATACACAAAAAATCAATACCACTTCACCAAATGAAGTACAAGTATTAAATTTTCTTGCTAGACTCTATGATGATGGCAAATCTTATAGTTGCATTAATATGAATAAATGTTCTATTGGCCAGACTCTGGCATCAATTGGTTGTAATACAGTAATCAATAGTAATCTCATTTCCAGATTTATGAAAGGAATTTTTAACGCAAGACCACCTTTGCCTAAATATTCCATCACATGGGATGTTGGTAAAGTTGTTCGTTATTTAGAAACTTTATTTCCAATGGAAAGTTTAAGTCTCAAGATGTTAACTTTAAAAAATGCAGCTTTATTAGCTTTAGCTACTGCTCAAAGAGCTAAAAAAATGACAAAATTGAATTTGAATTACATGGATACATCTAGTAAAACTGTCGTTTTTACTATGAACTGTTTACAAAAAACAGACAAAATTGGTAGAATTAACCCAGAAATAACTCTGGATGCATACAAGAAAAAAGAACTTTGTCCAGTATACACATTAAAATATTATTTGAAGGCTACCAAAAAATTGCGCAAGGATGATTATCTCCTGGTATCTTTTAGAACATGGCCTAAAATATCAACCTCAACTTTAGCTAGATGCTTAAAAATTGTCTTGACTTCATCTTGTATTGATGTTACAAAATTTCAGGCACATTCTTTCAGAGGCGCCTCTACATCTGCAGCTTTTAGTTCTGGTATCACTCAAGATACAATTATGAAAACAGCAAATTGGAAATCTGCAAAAACATTTAAATTTTATCTAAGAGAGGTTGAAGCTAAAGGAGGTGTTAAGACATGTAAAAAGAAATTTATCAATGCTGTTTTGTCTGTTTAATGACAACCTAAATAATATTTTACAGGAGTTCCATTATTTACAGAAACCAGTAACATTGTGGATTGACCAGAGCTGTCGATTTTCCTGGATTTGTGTTGTGTTGGATATATGAATGAACTTTATGGACTTTGTGTCATGATGGAAATGTGAATAATTTGATTATGTTGATGGAAAGATGAACTTTCATTAATTTTCGTGATTATGATACAGACAATTATAGAAAATTTTATATTATTGAAACATTTTATGACAGCAAATTGGATGTTTCAAATCTTTAATTTTGTGGCCATTTTTATCTCATTTAATTGATTTTCTTTACTTTAAAGATTCATCTTTAACCAAGAAGCTGTAGGCTTCTGTAATAGAATGGTCCATCATCCAAGCATCCATAGGATGTGATGGGTGATAGACATTCTGAAAGGAAGCCGAAGGCTTAGCAGGTTAAAGACCCGCCCTTGATTTATGGCCCATCCATATTATATACAATTAAATGAGTTTTTGTCTCTCATCCTTTTTCGTGATACTTTAAAATGAGACAGAATACAGGTGTGCACGGGATTATATATGCACGCATGAGTGGATTTGTACAGGTGACTCAGACTAATGATTTAAAATCACTTAACTGTAAAACAAGGTAGTTACTAGCCTGTAGAATAAGATATTCATCTTTAACCCGCAAACCCCTTCGGCTTCCTTACGGAATGTCCATCATCCATCACATCCTATGGATGCTTGGATGATGGACCATTAACCTCTAGAAAAAATGTAATTAATCCTAATAATTCTAAACCAGAACAGTTGCAATTCTTAATTTACAATTTTTGGTACATTGGCTTCTAGTAATCATTATTAAAAATGCACAATTGACATTTTGAAACTAGGAAGTAAGCCGCCTGATATTGACTTTTTTAATCCATTAATGATCGATCAATGCAATAGAATTTTAATATCAAATATATAACACCTACCTCTAAAACTTGGATATCATTTAAATTGGAAGCGTACAAGAAACGGAGTAATATTCATGTTGAGAGTTTTCATTCATATGTCGTCAGGCTTTCCCATGACTTTAATAAGCCAAGCTCATTCATGAAATTTCGCTGAATTTTATTTTATTGTAATTTTATACATTTTCTAAGCTTAAATGCATATTTTTGTTTTATTATTCATAAGAAAAGAAATAACGGAAATAATAAGTATTTGTTTTTTGCAATCTAAATTTGATTGATCCCCTTGAAATTCTTGATCCCATGTATCTGTATTGCGCATGAATAGATCATAATGAAGGTTACAGAAGTAGTTTTGGCAACATGATCTATGGAAGTGTAAACCAAAAGAAAAAATGCTAACAGACCAATCCAATTCAAGTATTTATAGATATGCAAAGCATATAAGAATTATGTTAAAATGGCAAACCGAAGTCATATGTCAGGTTCAGGCTTGTAATTCAGTGGTTATCATTTGTTGCTATTTATCATATTTGTTTTTTGTTAATTATTTCTAACATAATAAAATAGTTTTCTCATTTGAATTGTTTTTTACATTTTGTCATTTTGGGGCCTTTTATAGCTGACTATGCAGTATGGGTTTTGTTCATCGTTGAAGGCAGTACGGTTACTTAAGTTGTTAATCCTATATGTCACTTGGTCTCTTGTGGAGAGTTGTTTCATTGGCAATTGTACTACATCTTCTTATTTTTATATAAAGGCACAAGAAGTCAAAAATGTAATTTATCGCACAAGTCGGAACAATATGACTGTTTCGGAAGCCCTGTCACTAATTTTATTGAATCTATATTTATCTAATCATTATTCAAATTAAAAAAATTTGTAAACAACTCTATCAAAAAAGAATTTTCAATTTATCTTAGGCATATGGTACATACATTCAGTTATAGATTGAAAATTGCAATTGTTTGTATATATACTAATATACTGCAGCTGTGCTATTTGCACAGTCAAATTGCATTGACCATATAATCATTTGTGATATAGTCACTGACCATATATCGCCTTGTTTAGGACAATGACAATGCGTCTCCATAGAGATTAATTTATGAAGCCAATAAAACATAAGGGGTTGCAGAAATTTTACGTCTTATTGATGGTTTTTGAACAGATATATCATGTTATGGAGGGGTATTTGGGAAAAATACCAGTCGAGGGAGTGTTACATGTAAATTTCCCGAGTCGCTAGGCAAGGGAAATTTGGTCCCAAGACTGGTATTTTTCCCAAATACCCCTCCATAACATGATATATCTGTTTAATTACCTGATTACACTGAATAGATTTTGATTGAAACTCTCTGTACTGGTAAAAGAAATATTTTTTTTTACTAGTAAGCTGTAATCCATAAACATGTTAATGCATAATCTTGTGGATAAGTAGAAACTATCATAATACCGCGGGAATTATACATGTACTTATACGCGTTAGCGCTGTCTTTATGTACCGTCATTTCATTTGAGACAGTTACAGGAGTTGCAGAATAGAAAGAATGACCATACATTGCATGTCCCTTAATATAAAGTTTATTTGTACTCAGCTTAAAACAGGAAAGAAATGCTCGGCACAGCTTCGCTTTCTATCTGTTTCTAAGCCTTGTACAAATAAAATTTTATATTAAGAGACAATGTATGGTTGTTCTAATTATTTCATGTGCAACATTTAATCTTTAAAAATAATTGTCAAAAATAAAAACTCTACAAATCAGCTTTTTTCTATTTCATACCAAATATTTATGGAATTTGTTATTTAATTGACACCATCAACATCTGTAGTTATCAAAAGTGTCAATCATCTAGATCTGCAATTCAAAATACTACCTAGATTCCAGAAAATACTGCTATTTTATTTCTCAATAAAATGTATTCATTCAAATTTCACATACTTAACACTTCAAGTTTGAAGGTAAAATTCAATTTTCCATGTTCGTTCTCTAGCACACATGTATAGTTTCCTTCATCAGATTTAAGAAGTCTAGCTATCTTGAGTTTATTTTTTCTTATGTTGTACTGAAAATATACATAATTCATTAAATCTGTAACATATCAAGAATAAAACTTTTTTTTGTAGACATTTTGTAAACAAAACAATTTTATTTTCAATTCAATTTATTTTTACTATGCCAATTTCCATATATTGAGGTACTGTAAATTCAGAAATTATTGCGATGTTTTTATTATTGCGAAAAATGCAAAAGGGTTATAATCGCAATAATTTAAACTAATGCATTTTGAAATTTTTAATATGAATTAAATAGGATTTTTCTCAATATCGCAAAAATTAAAATCGCATTTTAGTCTAAAATGACAAAATCGCAATAATAAATGCACACAATAATTTCTGAATTTACAGTATACTATTAATATAATAACATTTGAAGATCCATGATTGCTTTGCATTTAATTTTGTATTTTTTTAAAAAATTTTTGGCCTTGCATCTTTCATTCATATTCTTACATTCCTTGTAATCACTTATTTCAACTTATCAAAATCTTCCATTGATGTTTATATTCAAAGCAAACAACCATAATTCCTATATGCAGTATGACGGTTCCTTCATTGAATCTCCCTATTAAACAAATCAAATTAAGTCGCATTCACCTCAAAACAAGGACTTATTTGAATCTGGAATAATTTCGAATTCTGGAAAATTGATGAGAAATTTATGAATGAAAACTAACCAAACTTAATAGGGTTAAGCCATGCGCGCATGGCTAAGGGGGTTAATTAGTTCATACTGAAATGATAGTGAAAGTAAAATTAACCATAGCCGCATGGCTAACCCTATTTAGTTGGGTTAGTTTTCATCATATATTTCTAATCAATTTTCCAGAATTCAAAATTATTCCAGATTCAAAAAATGTTTCAATAAGATTGCACCAAATCTATGTATAAATTTTAAAGCTATTAAAGACCATGTGTTTAGTAAAACATCCATTCCAGCAGTGCCTTCGGTTCATAGAGTATACATATATCACCAATTTGATATGATATTCCAGCGCTTGCATTACCTATCATGATTTTTCCTGTGAGACTGGGAGTATTGATCCCTGCTTCCTTAACAGAAAGCTACGCTGAAAGGCCGATATTTGCAATTGCCGAAAATCAATGTGACCATAATGAGAGATGCTTCAATGACAGGTTATTGGGGTCACATGGGCGAATCATTTGAATCAGGAAAAGGTTTGTCTTACAGAATGGTCTTTGAACAAGACAATAGTACAGCAGTCATTTCAGATTTGGGGAACCCCATTGATAGATTTGCTTGCATCATGGGAAAATCGCCAGACAGAAATATTTTGCACCTGGATTCCTCATCCCAATGCTTTGGCCTTATATGCTCTGACAATTCCTTGGGAGAACATGTACCCAAAGTTTTACCTGAATGGAACTTAGAATTATTGTTACAGGCTCTTGAAATATATATGGAAGTTTTCAACGATCTTGACTGGCTATACAGCCCTTGCAGGGCTCTTGAAAAGAATTACCATTTGAGCCTTATATATGCAGGAAGTTGATTTAAAGTATGTAACTTTAAAAACAGTATTTTTAGTTGCCATAACTACATTTAGAAGATGTAGTGATTTACAAAGCCTCTGTATTGATGACAAGTCAATGAGAGTTCAGAGTAAGGGTATGACTTTTGTTAGACATGGCTTAGCCAAGCAAGATCGACAAAAGCATTTGGAGAAAAATTAGTTGTACCTAGTTTTCCAGAATAGGATGTTAGCATACAAATTCATTTATTTGTATGGTATTTTATTGTTTATTTGCAGTTCAACATGTTGCTGTATACAGATGTAAATGTTGGGTTTTTGTTATGGTGATATTATTATATCATGTTCGATAGAAATATTGTAAGTGGATTTTTTTCTTGAAGAGAAGGAAATTCATCCACCACTGATTTGAAATCAGTGAGTATGTTCTAGTTACTGTAAATTCAGAAATTATTGTGATGTTTTTATTATTGCCAAAAATGCGACAGGGTTATCATCGCAATAATTAAAACTCACATTTTGAAACTTTATATATGAATCAAACAGGATTTTTCTGAATATTGCAAAAATTAAAATCGCATTTTAGTCTAAAATGACAAAATTGCAATAATAAATGCACGCAATAATTTCTGAATTTACCGTAAATCAATGTCAATTTTCACTGGTAGGTATTATGAATATTATTAACAAGAGTGCACACGCTGAAATGTCTCGCCTTCTTTACTAATCATTGATATTATGTTGATAGTCCTAAATATAAAGCTTTATTACAACTGTCACATAAATTAAACATTAACCAAGTAAACTAAACATTGACCAATGAACCATGAAATGAGGTCAAGGTCAGATGAACCATGCTAGGCAGGCATGTACAGCTAACAATTCTTCCATACAACATATAGTTGACCTATTGCTTATAGTTTAAGAAAAACAGACCAAAACACAAAAACTTAACACTGAGCAATGAACCTTGAAAATGAGGTCAAGGTCAAATAAAAGCTGCGTGACTGACATATAGATCATAAAATATTTCCATACACCAAATATAGTTGAACTATTGCATATAGTATTAGAAAAAAATACCAAAACTCAAAAACTTAACTTTGACCACTGAACCAAGAAAATGAGGTCAAGGTCAGATGACACCTGCCAGCTAGACATGTACACCTTACAATCATTCCATAGACCTATTGCATACAGCATAAGAAAAACAGACCAAAACACAAAAACTTAACTATGACCACTGAATCATGAAAATGAGGTCAAGGTCAGATGACACCTGCCAGTTGGACATGTACACCTTACAGTCCTTCCATACACCGAATATGCTAGACCTATTGCTTATAGAATCTGAGATATGGACTTGACCACCAAAACTTAACCTTGTTCACTGATCCATGAAATGAGGTAAAGGTCAAGTGAAATCTGTCTGACGGGCATGAGGACCTTGCAAGGTACGCACATACCAAATATAGTTATCCTATTACTTATAATAAGAGAGAATTTAACATTACAAATAATCTTAACTTTTTTTTTCAAGTAGTCACTGAACCATGAAAATGAGGTCAAGGACATTGGACATGTGACTAACGGAAACTTCGTAACATGAGGCATCCATACACAAAGTATGAAGCATCCAGATCTTCCACCTTCTAAAATATAAAGCTTTTAAGAAGTTAGCTAACGCCGCCACCGCCGCCGTAGCCACCGCCGCTGGATCACTATCCCTATGTCGAGCTTTCTGCGACAAAAGTCGCAGGCTCGACAAAAATGGAGCAATTTGTTCCCAAGTTGAGATTTTTAATAATAGAGTTATACCTATCAATGAAGGGGTCACCACCATCCCAGAGATGAATTTCTAGATATGTGTATATTGAAGGAACATGACAAAAATCAAAACTGGTTAGAATACCTGTATGACTATACAGTAACCTGATTTGGGTTGTGTTACACAGGTAGGGTGATCCAATATCCTATTATGTTTTAATTCAAGATCACCTAGATGTTTGTGATGAGATCAAGTTAACCAGCGTTTTGCATTTGCGCTTATATATGCATTTCATTTGCACTGATTTTTTCTTTCACTTGCGCTGATTTTTTCTTTCATTTTATCTGATTGTGTATAGGTTGTTTACAGGTGAATGTTATTTCTTATTTATCATTACATGTATAAACACCTCTTCTGTTATAAGTAACAGCCTGGATTTTCTCGATGATACCCATAAAGTTATATGTTAGGGTGGTGCAAATATGAGTGTTTCTTGTAATGCAAATGAAACAATTCTGGACTGTTATTCATCCTTTAACAGTTTTCAACGAGTTTCAGACATAATTTCAAACGTGAAGCAGTCATTGAATTCAACAGGGGGAAGGAATGGTAGCCTGAAAAATTACGATAGCCATTTACCAGTGTCACTTGATTTGTCTTTATACTCAGTACTTAGCCCAACAGACTGGACTTTCCTCCACCATTTCTGAGCCAGAAGAAAACGCCAACAATCTATGTGCAGGGGACAACCGTTATATACATGTCATAATTGACAATTCATAACATATGTACAACTGGCTAAAAGAAGGGGTTTATATTGATAAATAAACTAGAGGCTCTCAAGAGCCTGTGTCGCTCACCTGTATTTACTGATGCTTTGGAAATCATGTAAAATAAGGTTAAAATCATAATTAATAGTATTAGATATTAGACATTATAATGATATCTAAGATAATAACAAAAAACTGCAAAATTTCTGTAAAATTACTAACTCATGGGCAGCAACCCAACAACGGGTTGTCTGATTCGTCTGAAAATTTCAGGGCAGATAAATCTAAATCTGATGAACATTTATGCCACCTGTCAGATTTGCTCTTAATGCTTTAGTTTCAGAGATATAAACCAAAAACTGCATTTTACCCCTATGTTCTATTTTTAACCATGTCGGCCATGATGGTTGGAAGGCGGGGTCATGGAACAAATTTTTTAAACTAGATACCCTAATAATGATAAAGGCCAAGTATGGTTAAATTTGTCTCAGTAGTTTCAGAGAAGAAGATTTTTGTAAAAGATTACAAAAATTTACGAAAAATTGTTAAAAATTGACTATAAAGGGCAATAACTCCTAAAGGGGTCGACTGACAATTTTGGTCATGACAACTTATTTGTAGATCTTACTTTGCTAAACATTATTGCTGTTTACAATTTATTTCTATCTATAATAATATTCAAGATAATAACCAAAAACTGCAAAATTTCCTTAAAATTACCTATTCAGGGGCAGCAACCCAACAACGGGTTGTAAGATTTGTCTAAAAATTTCAGGGCTGATAGATCTTGACCTGATAATCAGTTTTACCTAAGTCAGATTTACTCTAAATGCTTTGGTTTCAGAGATATTTATATAAGCCAAAATCTATATTTTACCCCTATGTTCTATTTTTAGCCATGGCGGCCATCTTGGTTGGTTGGCGGGGTCATTGGACACATTTTTTAAACTAGATACCCTAATGATGATTGTGGCAAAGTTTGGTTAAATTTGGCCCAGTGGTTTCAGAGGAGAAGATTTTTGTAAAAGCTAACTACGAAGGACGACGACGAGGGACAACGGACGACGGACGCCAAGAAAAGCTCACTTGGCCCTTCAGGCTAGGTGAGCTAAAAATAACATTTACTTGTAATTCAACTGTGCACAATCGGCGCAAATGAAAGAATCAAATCGACGCAAATGAAAGAATCAAATTGGCACAAATGAAAGATCGAAACTTTTTTAAATTGGCGCAAATGTCATAGGCCCATAGTTAACGTGAATTATATTCTAATTTAATTAATGTCAATTTTCACATTATATTGAACTCTATTATTAAAAATCTCAACTTGGGAACGAATTGTTCTATTTTTTGCATACATTTTTAGAATGAAATGCTTCCACGCTTCATACAAAATGTACTTTGGTCAACATGAGTGAAATGATGTGGGTCACAGAAAAAGCAGATTCTGATTACGATTCTGGATCACCTGACATCACACAGCTTTTTGGTAGAGCTCATGTTGCGCAGTCTTTAGTTTCAATGTGTTCTTTTGTGGACTGCTGTTTCTATTATTATTATTATTATTTTTTTTTTCCATGGCTTTGTAAGTTTGTTTCTAGCATATGAGGTTGAATGTCTCTTTGGTATGTTCCACCTCAGACTATCAGAATAACCAAATAATTATGACTTAAATAAAAATGTTTATATGGGGATTAATTGACATTATATTTATAAATTCAGGTGCACCTCTTCACTCTACTTCAAATTTTCATGTCATTATTTCTTGTATAACAATATATATCAAACTGTCTCTATTTACCATTTGTAAAAGTCATTGCCAAAGTTAAAGTTCCACATGGCTTAAATGAAAAGTTTTGCTCTGTCCATGCTTATCATTTTGGTCTTAAAGTACTTAACTTTTTAATGTATTATTTCAATTATTTTTTCTCGTGTCACTTACCTGTCCTCCCTTCACACCAGGGTCAATGTACTGTTTGTTTTTATACCACTTAATGGTAGGTTTTGGTTTTCCACAAGCAACACATTTAATTTCCACAGGAGACATTTCTGGTCTGGCAATCCACTCCCCATTGGTTTTATCTTTAAAAACTGGTGGACCCGTGCCAGACAGACATAAACAGCGTACAATCCTTCAATACAACAGTTATAGTTGACCTAAATTGCATATAGTTTAAGAAAAACAGACCAAAACACAAAATTTTAACACTGAGCAATGAACCATGAAAATGAGGTCAAGATCACATAAAACCTGTGAGACTGACATGTATATCATAAAATATTTCCATACACCAATAAAGTTGACTTATTGTATTTAGTATTAGAAACAAGAGGCTCTCAAGAGCCTGAATCGCTCACCTGTTATTTTTTTCCTTAAATCTTTCATCAATGATTATTTTTGCTTTTCAATATATATTAATGAGTGGCTTAAACATGCCATTTAAATGTTCATTGTATCTGTCATATTTTCTTCAAAAGCAAATAAATGCATTTTACCCTTATGTTCCATTTATGCCATAGTGTCTATGTTTCTTGACGTACAAGGAAATAAAATACAAAATTTATACTAGATTCATTTGAGAAGATTTTTAAATTTAAAAAACATAAACAACTTGTGTAAAATTGTCCTTAAAGAGCAATAACTCCTTAAGGGGTCAATTGACAATTTTGGTCATATGAACTTTTTTGTAGATCTTACTTTGCTGAACATTTTTGCTGTTTACAGTTTATCTTTATCTTCAATAATATTCAAATATTCAAGATAATAACCAAAAACTGCAAAATTTCCTTAAAATAATCAATTTAGTGGCGTTTGTCTGAAAATATCAGGGCTGATAGATCTTGACCTTTTGAACATTTTTACCCCATGTCAGATTTGCTCTAAATGCTTTATCTATCATAATATTCAAGATAATAACAAATAAATGGAGGATGTGTCCCCATGGACACAGATGATGCCCACGCTTGCATACAACATTATAAAGGGACACAACTCAAGAACAATAAAAGTGACGCTACCCATATTTGTACTTGATCTGAGTTTTGTGGTAATAAGTATTGTATATAGGTTTCATAATTCTTGGTTGGGGCAAACTTAAGTTACAGAACGGAAACTAAAAATTTTGCAATTTTTCGATTTATAAAGTGGCACAACTCGATAATTATGATAATGATTAAAGTGACGCCACCAAAATCCAACTTGATCTGTGTTTTGTGGTAAAAAGCATTGTGTATAAGTTTCATAACATTTGGTTGAGGCAACTTAAGTTAGAGAACAGAAACCAAAAATTTTGCATTTTTTCCATTTATAAAAGGGCATAACTCGAGAATGGTTAAAGTGACCCCACCAAAATTCAATCTTGATCTTTATTTTGTGGTAATAAGCCTTGTGTATAAGTTTCATATCATTTGGTTGAGGCAAACTTAAGTTAGAGAATGGAAACTAAAAATTTTGCAATTTTTCTATTTATAAAGGGGCATAACTCGATAATGATTAAAGTGACGCCACCAAAATCCAACTTGATCTGTGTTTTGTGGTAAAAAGCATTGTGTATAAGTTTCATAACATTTGGTTGAGGCAACTTAAGTTAGAGAACGGAAACCAAAAATTTTGCATTTTTTCCATTTATAAAAGGGCATTACTCAAGAATGGTTAAAGTGACCCCACCAAAATTCAAACTTGATCTTTATTTTGTGGTAATAAGCCTTGTGTATAAGTTTCATATCATTTGGTTGAGGCAAACTTTTCCATTTATAAAGGTGCATAACTCTAGAACGGTTAGAGTAACGCTACAAAAATTCAAACTTGATCTGTATTTTGTGGTAATAAGCATTGTGTATAAGTTTCATAATATTTGGTTGAGACAAACTTAAGTTAAAGAACGGAAACTAAAAATTTTGCAATTTTTCCATTTATAAAGGGGCATAACTCTAGAACAGTTAATGTGACGCCACTAAAATTAAAACTTCATCTGTGTTTTATGGTAATAAGCATTGTGTATAAGTTTCATAACATCTGGTTGAGGCAACTTAAGTAAGAGAACGGAAACTAAAAATTTTGCATTTTTTCTATTTATAAAGGGGCATAACTAGAGAATGGTTAAAGTGACCCCACCAAAATTCAAACTTGATCTTTATTTTGTGGTAATAAGCCTTGTGTATAAGTTTGAGGCAAACTCAAGTTAAAGAACGGAAACCATTTTTGGGATGTAAGGACGGACTTAACGTACGTATGTATGTACGTACAGACAGACAAGGGTAAAACTTAATGCCCCCTCCGCTACGGTGGGGGCATAAAAACTGCAAAATTTCCTTAAAACTACCAATTTAGTGGCAGCAACCCAACAATGGGTTGTTTGATTCGTCTAAAAATTTCACGGCTGATAGATCTTGACCAATTGAACAATTTTACCCCATGTCAGATTTGCTCTAAATGCTTTAGTTTTTGAGATATAAGCCAAAAACTGCATTTGACCCCTATGTTCTATTTTTAGCCAGTAAAAATATTATTGAGAAAGTGCAGGTGGGATTTTTTAAATTTTCATTTATTGTCTTAAAGAAATGCACTACGAAAACCCATAACTGTGTTCTCAGGCCTATAGGTAGAAAAAAAAACAAAAAAAAACCCACAAATTTCCATAGGAACAAATAGTGATAAAACTTGAAGCTAATAGTAATACAATGAATAACAAATTGCCAATAAGGTCAACCAATCTAGTATTTATGGAATCCACTAAGATTTGACCAAGTCATGACATAGCCCAAAAGTTTGCAAAGCATTAAATTATTTTCAAATAACTTCAAAATAACTTAAAGGAGCACTAGCTGTCAAATTCATGTTGACCGATTTGACTCAAATCCTCATATTTGATTTATAACAATGTAAAATATATATCCAAACTATTAAAAGTCTAAAATAAACAATTTACCAGGCACGGGCTCGATAATATGTAGCTTCATTTCGTGTGTATTTTAGTCTAGACGTCATCTAATTAACAATAGAGTTGACCTCCGAAAACCTCCAATGACCATATAAGCGATGTAAACATAAATATAGGTATAAATAGATTAAGTGAACTCATGCAATTGGATTTTTTTCTAGGTCTGTTTAATTTCATATTATTATATAGATTAAAAATATATGTTTATCGTGTTTTAACTGTATAAGCTAGAATGATTTTTTGTGGATTGAATTGGTCAATCAAATGATTTACCTTTTTTTTACTTTAAATGTTGACATTCTTTTCTTTTAAATATTGCAAGTGAATGTTTCTTCACTCATTTTGTCAAAGGCTGCTAAAAGTGAATAAATATTTCACTATTTACTCTCATTAATGATTGAACAAAAAAAATCAAATTTTAGATTTTTTATATATCTCGTAGTTACAATGTAGTGCCCCTTTAAACTGTGAGCATATAAATATCATATTTCTTGTTGCATGTAACTTTGGCCAAAAGGTTGATACTATATACATACAAATCTAAAAAGTAATTCTACTGACCTAAACTTGAAATTTCTTACCTGCTATTCTGCAGACTCATAACCAAACCTACGTAAATGAAATAGTTGAACCTGTCAATTAAAATGTAGAAGTTATAAGATGTATGTTACATGGACACACTTTGAGTCATATCAAACAGTTACATGCACATATAATGCTTGTTGTTTCAGGCTTAGAAGATTGCTTCCTAGTTTATCTTATATTCTAATTTGCTCTACCAAAATGCATATTGTCGCTGGGCTTCCAAAATATTGTATATGACTTTTTTGGCTAAATTTACTTTTTTTACACAAATAGTCTTGGCAGGAGGCAATCTTTGATACTCCAAAATAGCATACAGTTAGACCAATCAAAACATTTGAAAAAAGACAAAATTGCCAACCTGATTGAACTGCTTGTAAAGTTTGCTTCCAAAATGTTGTATGTTAACTTGAAAAGAGTTGTATAATGGCATTGGGAATCAAATACTTGTAAATTTCTATATTTCTGTTAAAATAAGTTTAGTTTTTAAGTAATTCACAAACGTCATAGTTTTTATTTCACCGCCATTTACAAAAATATTCAGGTCCACTTACAACATTTTGGAAGCATGCATTTCAACCAAATTTTCAAATAAAATTGAGAATGGAAATGGGGAATGTGTCAAAGAGACAACAACCCGACCACAGAACAGACAACAGCAGAAGGCCACCAACAGGTCTTCAATGCAGCGAGAAATTCCCGAACCCGGAGGCGTCCTTCAGCTGGCCCCTAAACAAATATATATACTAGTTCAGTGATAATGAACGCCATACTAAACTCCAAATTGTACACAAGAAACTAAAATTAAAAATAATACAAGACTAACAAAGGCTAGAGGCTCCTGACTTGGGACAGGCGCAAAAATGCGGCGGGGTTAAACATGTTTATGAGATCTCAACCCTCCCCCTATACCTCTAGCCAATGTAGAAAAGTAAACGCATAACAATACGCACATTAAAATTCAGTTCAAGAGAAGTCCGAGTCTGATGTCAGAAGACGTAACCAAAGAAAATAAACAAAATGACAATAATACATAAATAACAACAGACTACTAGCAGTTAACTGACATGCCAGCTCCAGACTTCAATTAAACTGATTGAAAGATTATGTCTTCATCATATGAATATCAGGCACAATCCTTCCCGTTATGGGTTTAGTATCATACCATCATAACATATATGAGAAGAACATAACCCGTGTCATGCCAACAACTGGTTTTTAAATAAATGTGTTTAGTGCCGATGCAAAGACCCTATAAGTGAATCAATATTAACGCCAAAATATGCAATCTTTAATGACCTGACAACAGTATCGTAACTATATCCCTTCTTAATAAGTCTATTTAAAGGTTTTGTTAAGTTTCAGAGGTGAATACTGACATTTTTGTGCTTTATAAAGAATATTTCCATAAAAAATTGGATGTGAAATACCTGAACGTATAAGAAGTCTGCATGTTGAGCTATATTTACGAATGATGTCCTTATACCGATGATAAAATTTAGTAAATGTTTTGACTAGTTTGTGATATCGAAAACCCTGGTGTAATAATTTTTCAGTAATACATAAATTTCTCTCGTTAAAATCTAAAACATTGTTACATACA